AAGTGTGCTGTTGCTTAACTTAGAGTTGCAGCCCTGAAGTGGTCAAAGCAGTATTCACAGAGGAATTACAGGTAAATGCAGAAGTGCAGTTGAATCCTGCTGTACAACAATAATGGCATGAACTTATGTAAATTCTACCAGTTGTGCAACAGCTAGCAAGAGATAGTGCAGGTTAAAGTGACACAGGAAGAAAACAAAGAACAAAGAGACTTATTCAAGTCCTGGCTGATACTTTAGATATAAGATGCAAACACAACAGCTAGAGCCGAAGGTTCTGAAGACTTCTAAACTGTTCCTGGATACCATCAATGGAGTAGACGACTACTTGTCCTTATACATCAAATGAGAGATTGCTCTATGTCCCTTAAAGGAATCTTGTGATGTTTAGCACTTTTAAAGTGTTGCTTCCAGTTTTCCTTTCTCTTCATGCTTTTTCCAAGTTATTTATTCTCTACAAGCCCCTAAGAATAAGAGCATGTCATGCCTAGTGCAAGAAAAGAAAGTAAAATTCATCCTTAGGAAATAAGTTATGCTCTCAACCTAGAGTTTGAGGGAATAGGAATTAATGAAAAATTATCCATGACAAGAAAATGTGATATTCAGTGGCTAAGGCCTCATACCCTGAAGAGTAATTATTTCATACAGATTTGTGTTAACATTAGAGGCACAACTCTGTTTTAGCTTTTCTTTTCTTTCCTAAGGTCTTGTGTGGATTGCAGTTGTAGGGTCACCAGAAAAATTTAACCCAGACAGTTTTGGAAAGTAATAAATAATTCTACAGATTATATCAAGGTATTCTGTCTAAAACCAATATCAATTTTATACTTTCTCATGCAGAATAAATGCAATATGGTTGAATAGCTGGCATATGAAGCCGCTCAACTGCAAAACAACTGCAATCAATAAAGAGGAGAGAGTTGTACGTTCTTTTCTCCAAAACAGGTGGAGACATCCTGGAAGTAGTGTACTTGGTTAGGGAGAAGGGCTGAGGATGGCAGGAAAACAACAAAGCAATGCTCTATTTAAAGTGTATCCTTCTGTTCCTACCATCTCTCAATATTCCTCATACTGTCTCAAGTTGTTATTTTAAATTAAAAAGAAAAGGTTTCCATTAAATTTGTGCAGTCATGTTTGTGGCATTCATATTGTTTTGGAGACAGGAACAGATTTAGACAGAGCCTCCTCCCTCTGAGATAACACCACCAGGTAATTTTTCTCTGTCTTTTCAAAGGTAGTCTTCAAAATCAAGAACAGGGTGTCCAGAAAGAGGAGAGAAATCTCATGGCATTTCAGTCCATCCACCCCAACAGAAACCCTGGAAGTCCAGCCATATTTCCACATTAACTTGAAAATTCTGGCACTTTGAAATAGTTCTTCCAGTTTTGGCCATAGCTGATTAAACCTGTCTTGTTCCCTATCATTATCCACTCAAGACAGTGGAAAGCACCATACAGAAACTACTGTAATTGCACGCTGATGCACATATGCTTTTTTGCTTCAGTAGCTTCCGCACTGTGAAGTGATGGAGACAGGTTTGCTAACATCAGTGTGCCTCAGTAGACTGTGACTGGAAAGCCACTTTCCTGCTAGTGTCCTACACAAATGGAAGATTTGTTTCAGTGGGACCTTCAAATGAGATGCACCAGCTGGCATTTCACTCCAATTCTCACACCAGTATGACTAGTGTCAGATCTTGTTTAGAAAGCAAGGGAGGCACGGCTGATGCCAGAGAAGGCAACAGTTAAGCAGCTGCAGTGATAAAAGTACTAGAAGAATCAGGTGCTTAGATTACATACAATTTATTACCACTGCACTTTGTTGACATTACATGTTGGATCACTTGAATCAAGGACATGAAACAAAAGACAAAATGGCAGAGTCTCTGGTTAAAAGACTAACTGGTCTGCCCATGGCAAGAAACTTGAAGAACTTAGTTATTCATATCACAGTTCAGAATTTCCTTCCAGGTAACACACTGCTTGAAAACAGAATGCTGTTTGCAAGGAGAGAAACATTTTAAACCAGTGTCTTTTTATCAGTTCTAATAAAAGGTATATTTCAGTAATTCAAAACCAATATATTGCTTCACTCATCTAACACAGACTGGCAAAGGGAACTGTTGTTCTCCACTTTCAATGACAAAAAAAGAACTGAAGAACATACTCAGAGCAGAACTATGTGGGAACCTGAGAAACAGAAAAAGAAAATGGCTAATTCTTTTGACACTCAGATTTCCACTCTTGAATCTAAAAATAATCCTCAATTTCACATTTTGCTTTGTGTACACACACTCAGACATGCAAATCCATTTGTTTTTTCCCTTGGTGTAAAGGTGTTTTTCCAGAGGAATACACATTCCTGAGGAGTCAAAAGGAAAACCTCTTTGAATAAGTGTTATTCTTAGAAAAGTACCCTTTTGCAGAGAACTGTTGATTACTGTAATTAACTTTACTTGGATCCTCTTATTTATGTTAATCATGGTAATTGTGGCTATGGAGTCACAGGAAAAAAGGTTGGAGTCTTTCCC